TAAGTACCGTTGGTATTCAATCAAGATGACGTGCAGCAGAAATCGCTAACGTGAAACAAAAACAGATGGAGAACGGATATCATCTGTATGACTTCAAGGGTGAGCAGCTGCGCGAGGAGGCTATTGAGAAGTTCAAGCAGTTCCAGTGGAGGCCGCGCCCCGCTACCCTCCTTAGCAAGGAGGAGCAGAAGGCCATCCGCCGCAACCTCCGCGAGTACTCGAGGATCTTCGAGCAGGAAGACGCCGAGCGCATCAGCAGCGCCGACGTTGCCGTTGTCGAGGCCCGCCGCCGCCTCCTCGAGGAGTGGTTCGCTTGGCGCGAGGCCATCAGGCAGGAGGTTGCCGAGGAGCGCGAGATCTACGGCCTTCCGGCGGATCCCGTTGCCGACCTCATCAAGGCCAAGACCCCCGAGCTTGCCACCGACCAGGAGGAGCAGGTCATCGAGGAGATCATGGAGGAGGTGTTGGAGGAGACCGAGGAGATCGTTCAGTAAATGTGCGAACAGGCGGCGGCAGTAGTTTGATATGTTGTGAAGTTACATGGCGTACCGTTTTTTCCCGTTTTTCGAAAAGGTCATCTGAGGGTACAGTGAATAAAATGAACCGGGTTCTTTCATATCTCTGGGCCTTATTTTATTTTATTTTTGCTCTTTTCTCTCTACGTTGTACCTGTCTGGTTGTTATAAAAGCGGTGCATGCGTAGACTAGGCGGTGGATTCCAAAAGAGCTGTTTGGTTGGCGCTTTAGTATCATCCGGGTTTCGTAGATCGGAGTCAGACTTCTTCTAATGACCAAAAGTCCATCCTGTTTAAGTGAAGGAAGGTTCGATATTTAAATGACTATGTGACTGGTCCACTAACCAAATTGCGAGATGCCTCTACACAGCAACATTAAGACCGATCCTTTGTATGTCTAACCGGGTACCACCAAGGATCGAACCCAAAAAGACCTAATGCAGGGAAACATATGATATCTTGTCCTACTAGCCGTGCTGAACACCACAAGTCAGAGCAGCAAATGAAGATAGAAACAATCAACAGCTTGACACCACATCCAAGTACCGAGCCAAAACCCAGACCCGATACGCACGCGGCTGGGTTGTCCAACAAGCCCCTTGTGATGATTTTCTTTAATCCCAACGGGTCGACATAACTGTGGTGCGTCTGATAAGCAGGGGCAAAAGAAAGTGGAAGCCCAACCATCATGTCGTACTATCGATCTAATCTTTGTCCTTGCACTGCATTGCCTATCTACGATGTCTAGGGCCTTTTGACTTGTGCGTTGTGCCGTCATTGAACAAAAAAAAAAAAAAAAAAAAAAAAAAAAAAAAAAAAAAAAAAAAAAAAAAGAATTTTGAAAATATTTATCAAAAGAAAAAGAATTACTGATAAATTAAGAAGAATATGAGTTGGACGTTTTCCTACGGCATTTGCGATCCAACGTTCTTGGGAGGTTGCTCATTTACATTGTGCCCAAAAGAGTTGAGTGGAATAATTAGAATAGTTGTATCAAGGCGAGTGTCTATGTACCGAGTGTTTGATGAAGCCATATATGTGGGAGGTCAACATCATCATCCACACTCAACGGCGGCCTACGTACAATCATTCATCAACTGGAAGAAACAGGGGAATGAAAATGGGAGCATAGCATCGATCTCTTCTTCAGTTGTGTGTGTGTATGTTTCTCTTTTTTTTTTCTTCTGTGGTCCGTGTGGAAAACAACTTCCAATCTAGGAGTTTGGCAAAGTCAAAAAAAGGAAGCCAACTTAACACTCCTTCCGCGTCCACTGCCTGAAGCACTTCGAGCAAAAAGTACGCGTACGTATATCATTATTCAAGCCGCGAAGGTTCGCTGTTTTCTCTAGGGAAAGATGGCCTTTGTCATGAGTAGTATCTTGTTGGAAGTAAAATCAAGGGAGAGACAGCCTGAGTACCGCTTATATATATCTCTTGGTTCTACGATGGCTTATCTCGTGATTTACAGGCTGGTTTTTGAACCGGTAGAAGCGAACATGGTCAAGGTCCGGGCTGCAAGAGTACGGATTTGCGTGGGTCGTTTTCGCTTGCGACACTCGCGAACCCGAGGCATCATACAGTAAACATCATCATCACCTCATGGCGTGAGCGACGGACTTTCGAGTCCCGCTTGCTGGGATCGGTCTGAGAACGAGGACATGGATAGTGGTATCCATGGCCTTACGCTGGGAGACTGAAATAAAAGTACGCATGAGAGCCACAGGAGCCACGGGTGAAGGGGGATGAGCGAAAAAGAAGTCAAAGATAACATCGGGGCCTGGCGATGTCAAGTCCGCTCAAGTGGTTCGATCGTGTGATTCTGTGGCTCTTCAAGGTGATCTCGGAGCGACAAATCCCGGCAACGAGCCGTATCCGGACTGGAGACCGGACCTCGTTCGGGGTTTCTTGTGGGGGAAAGCCGTGGGGATTGGTGACAGACAGGCCGGACGGCGTGGACGGAAGTGGTCAAATGAGCCGGGACCGCCGCCGGGTTTGATGATAAAAACTTTTGGAGTGGCCCGCAAGCGGGTGGAGCTTTTCACAAGCCCTGGATAAAAGCGACGTGGACGAATCTCGTTGCAACTTTATCGGCTTTTTGCCTCTTGTGTGTGTGGGGGGGTGGTAACAGAAACTGAAAGCATGTACACAGTGGAACGTACAAACCTCGGGAACTGTTTTGCCCAACAAAAAGAAAAATAAGAAACGAATTATCTCTCCGTTCCGAGAATTCCCAACAGAAATTCGAGCGCCGACTCCGATAAATCTGTCTTGTCGCCTGAGGATGAGCGGCGCGACAAGCACCCAAACCGTCCAATGCCATTTGGCCATCGCATCATGGCATGAACCCAAAAATGCAACCCCCACTCTATGTGTTCCCTTCCAGCCGACGACCCGCATGAAACCTCCCCTTGCACCCAAACATGGGAGCGGGTGGCTTGGGGGACCCTGATGGGGTGGGGAAAAAAAAGGAAAAAAAAAAAAAAAAACACCATGTGAAGACCGCGTCTCCAGGACGGGAATTCATACTAACCATCTCAATAGTAAAAGGGAAGAGTGACAAAGATGCTCAGACTTGATAAGAATAGAAATGCCTTTTGACAGGGGCAATGGTTGAAGCGCACGTCCAGGTACGATGAAACACCCAGCCCTGTCCGAGTTGAAGTGAAGATGGCAAAACGAAGGCCAGCTCAGACGAGTCCAAGTCCTCGTCCTCTCAGTCTAGCTACCCCGCGCAATGCGACGCTGTACGAGACTAGGATCTCCACCCATCCTTGTATCACCTTATCTTGGCCTCACAGCCCCCCCGCCCAGGCATCCAATCCAATCCAGCCCAGCGCTGAGTGCTTATCGATAAAGCTTCTTTTTCGAGTTGGAGACGGCATCTTGAAACGATTTCGTCCGAGCACTGAAATCGAAGGCGGGAATCTCATGAGCACATGACATGCTCCCAGGCCGGGGCTGGCTGGCCTCGAACACTCGTTGCCGTCTAATCGAATATCGGATTTGACTGTGACCGGAGGAAGCAACGGAAAATTCAGCGCGCGAGATAGCTGCAGAATATGCCGAGCTAGGTGGAACGCAACACGGACGACGATCTCCAGCCAGCCAGCCAGCCAGTGAAGTCGCTTTGCCCATGTCTCCAGCTTCGAGGTCCCGTTTTCGCCCCTCCCAGGGGAATGCCCTCGACGCGACAACAGATGCTCTGCTTGTCACATGTGAAGAGGCAATCAATCAATGCATCTGCGTGTCTCTCTTTTCGTCAAAAACCGTCGTTGGCCAGTTTGTCGCTCAACCCTTTTCTCAGCTGGGTGGTGCAAATCCCCTCAACCAACTGGACCTTTGTTTCAGCTCACAGGCTAGCATGTGAATGTTAAGGTGTACTTTAGTTGGAGGCCTGTAGTATGTACTTTGGACTCTAGTACTGGCCGTCAGATTGCCATACAATATTGGTTTGGACCTCAATGCATCCCGATAACATTTCCTGTGTGTGTACCTCTAGATTCCTACAGTGCAGTCAGTCATAAAATGTAGACACGATGCACAATTGGCAGACAACTGCATCAATGCATTGGCAGTCAGAGCCCAGCTTGGGTAGGTACCTCTAGGTTTATCGTCGGGTCTCAATTGTTTTGGAAAGTGCGAATGGTTCCTGGTGGTGGCCAAAAGCGGGAGGCGGTCCCTGTCCCTCCTCGTTTGCCTGGACGCGTCTCGATCTTGCCTCATTCATGTATCCGCAGTCTGGGTGCTGCAACAACGAAGCGAGTGCATGGGCACCGAAATTGGGGCGACTTTGGTTGACTACCAAATTCTGCTGGCAACCAAGGTAGCGATCTTCAGGAATCCCATCTCCAATGGTTTCAACGAGTCGGTACATATATAAAGCCTAGAAACAATCGGCCTCTTCAAACCCAAACAAACCCTTTCCTCTCCAGTGCCAGTCTCCAGGTTACATTCCCCCAATCCCGGACCGAGCCCCGTACCATCGGGAATCCCAACAAATCATCCCCCGGGCATAAACAATCGACCCACGTCTAGCACCCCATTTTTCCCGGGGTCTCTGCGAGACAACAAAGATCAGATTGATATTGTTTTCTTTTCTTTCTTTCTTTTCCACGCATTCTCCTTCCTAAAGATTGGGTTTACCACCAACCTTCCTCTTCGCTGTGTGTATACTCCTCTCCAACAAGCCCTTGACGGTAAGCCTTTGCTCCATGCATCCCTTTCCGGTATCTTCCATGCACTCCTCCAGCCTCTTCCTTGAAGAGTCGACCAACACCCCGATTGTACCCACTTCGACCATTGCCAACCACAAAAAAAGACAATAAACAAAACAAAAACCACGAGTTTCCTTTGCTGACGCTTCTCTGATTTAGTCTGCTTTGTGACATAAGGCAGATAAAGGTTGTTGTTGTTGTTGTTGTTGGGATTCGTCTCGACTATTCGACTCGGTTTTTCTCTCCCCACCGATTAATTCCACCTCACAAGATGGCTTCCGTCTCCTCTGCCCTTCCCGAGGGCAACAAGCCTGCCCTGCGCAGGACCCAAACCGAGGCCACCTCCGACTCATACCCTGGTACCGCCGATGCCTCTCCCTTCGACTCTCCTCTTGAGCGCTCGGCCTCCAACACCTCGCTTTCTTCCCTGGCCTCCGACAACGTCAAGACCGACAAGGCCGAGTTCGGCAAGCTACTCGACACGTACGGCAACGAGTTCGAGGTCCCCGACTTCACTATCAAGGACATCCGCGATGCCATCCCCGCGCACTGCTTCGAGCGTTCGGCTCTTCACAGTTTGGCGCACGTCGTTCGCGACATCATCTACCTCACCGTCACTTTTTACGTCTGGAACAAATATGTCACCCCCGAATACATCCCCATGAAGGCTGCCCGTGTCGTCCTCTGGGGTCTGTACACCTTCATGCAGGGCCTTTTCGGCACTGGTCTCTGGGTTCTTGCCCACGAGTGCGGTCACCAGGCCTTCTCCCCGTCCAGGTTGATCAACGACACCGTCGGCTGGGTCCTCCACTCTGCCCTTCTCGTCCCCTACTTCTCATGGAAGTTCTCCCACAGCAAGCACCACAAGGCCACCGGCAACATCGAGCGTGACATGGTCTTCGTTCCTCGCACCCGCGAGCAGTTTGCTTCTCGCATCGGCCGTTTCGTCCATGAGATTTCCGAGTTGACCGAGGAGACCCCCATCTACACCTTGATCCACCTTATCGGTCAGCAGCTCATCGGCTGGCCCAACTACCTCATGACCAACGTCACCGGCCACAACTTCCACGAGAGGCAGCGCGAGGGTCGTGGCAAGGGCAAGAAGAACGGCTGGTTCACTGGTGTCAACCACTTCAACCCCAGTTCTCCCCTCTATGAGGAGCGTGAGGCCCCCTGGATTATCGTCTCCGACATCGGTATCGCCATCGCCGCCACCGCCCTCATCTACCTCGGCAACACCTTCGGCTGGTCCAACATGTTCGTCTGGTACTTCCTTCCCTACCTCTGGGTCAACCACTGGCTCGTTGCCATCACCTACCTCCAGCACACCGACCCCTCGCTCCCCCACTACACCCCTGATCAGTGGAACTTTGTCCGTGGTGCCGCCGCGACTATTGACCGCGAGTTCGGTTTCATCGGCCGTCACCTCCTCCACGGCATTATCGAGACCCACGTTCTCCACCACTACGTCAGCACTATTCCCTTTTACCACGCCGACGAGGCCTCCGAGGCCATCAAGAAGGTCATGGGCCGTCACTACCGCGCTGACGTCCAAGATGGCCCCATCGGTTTCATCAAGGCCATGTGGAAGGCTGCTCGTTGGTGCCAGTGGGTTGAGCCTACCGAGGGCGCTGAGGGCAAGGGCAAGGGCGTCTTGTTCTACCGCAACCAGAACGGTCTCGGTGTCAAGCCTGCCAAGCTCCCCAAGACCAACTAAGTATTTCAAGAAAACGATAGATGGATAAAAGTTTAAAAGACCCAGGTCGAGAAAGATCGACTTGAGGCACTGCTAAAATTTTGATCGGTTTGGCCTAGCCTGGTCACGCTCAGGACCACGTCCCCCCAGGGGACATGCACGGATTGCTGTAGGAATCTGGAAAGGTATCATATCAACATGTTTCCAGGAAACCAACAAAAATGAGCGGTTTGGGTCTTTGTCATATCGATATGTGGGAATGGGAATAGGAATGGGAACGGGAGCCGATGGTTATAAAATCGAATCGGAAAAAAAGGATACCAATCAATGACGAGATGTTTGCAACTTTACTAAAGACATCGTTTTCTTTCTCTCTCTTTTGCCTGTATAGATGTGGAATGCATAGACAGCAGTAGAAAGGAAGAAACCTAGAGAGAGGTCTGATGGTCTGAAATGATAAGAAACAAAAGAATTATCAAGTACTTAATGAGGATGAGTTTTGCAGTGAACCGTGGGTACTGGTTTTGTTCTTAAGAATCGTCAAGCATGGGCATTGTATGGCATCATCGTTGGGCGATAAAGGGAAGTAGATGAAGGATAGAATTTGGACTGTTAACATTATGGAGCTGTCTGGTTCAGCACAGAAGTTTCGGTTGAAAAGGGAGCGAGAATAAATATGTATATGATTTACAACTCATGATCTTTGCTTGGCCATTGTCATCACTTGATCACAACGAAACCTCTCAGCCTCAACCGGCAGAGCATTTTGGTCAAGCAGCTGTGTCATGATTTCTCGCTCACGTAATTCCAGGCGATCCGATTGGATGATTGGAGGGAGGGATGGGATCATCCACGCAACGCCGTTCACTACGCTACTACGTACAACTACACTACGATGTTCCTCTCTAAAAACCCTCACTGTGTCACTTTATCATATACTAGAAAAATCATAAACATCATCTGTTTCGTCGCTTTGCGTCCTCATCAATCAATGATGGATGACAACCCAACGGAGTGTGTAAATCAGTGCGGGGTGGCGCTCGGGTGATGGATGTCGTCCGGGCCTTTATAGTGTAAAAAGTGGAAACTATCCAACCATCCATCCTTTCATCCATCCATCTATGATCCGTCAGTATGCCGTCTCAAATGTTCATCATGTGACACCAGAACACACAAGCACAAGACATGGGACACAGATCCAGATAATGGACCTCAACGCATATACACCTCTACAGGCATTTAAAAGGTTAGCGTACTATAGCCAAGACGCTAAACCCAAACAATAAACTAGGATTCTTATTATAGTAAATACCTTATATTCTATACAATCTAATAATTAATAGAATTACTATTAGCCTCAATAACCTTTCTTAGCCTTTCTAGCATTAAATAAGCTAACCTTAAAAGAAACTCTTCCGGCACGTTATTCCAAACTTATATTATAGCCTCCCTAAGCTTCTTTAATATTAATAATTAAATATCGTATCTTAATTCTGTAAGTAACTTAATGTACGGCCAAACATTTTCAATTAGTACTAAATCCGGAGAATAAATAGGGAACCATTTCTCACTTAAAAAATTAATCCCTATCCCTTAAATAGCTCTCTAAGTAATTTTAGCCTTATAAAAAAGAATATTATTTTATTAGAAAGTAATACCGGCTTCTAGGTACTCCCGGGCAAAGGTAATAATTATAAAAAGGATAAAAAAAATATACTTCTAAGTAATAACACTTCCAAACTCTTTTTCCCAAAGGAAATAAGGTTTTTTCTTTCCTCTAATAAAGAATCCCTAGAGTATTTATCCGTAAGGCTTTCTCTTAACTAAAGAGAAATCGTTCGGATCGTTCTTATTATTTAAAATAACCTATTATTTCTACATCGGATTATTAATTATCCAAATCTTATTAAAAATAAAAATACCTTCCTAATTTCGTAATAATAGCTACTATCGCCTTATTTCTTAATATTAATCAACTTTTTTCTTTTTTTATTAGTATTAGTCTTCCTTATTCTTCTTCTTCTTACTTTTCTCTTAAAACCAAATAAATAAAGTACTTTTCTTAATACTTTATTTCCGGTAGAAAGTAAAGGGGGGAGGATAAGAGGGAAGTTATTCTAGGAAATAAAACGGTAACTCCGATCTAATTTCAACTATTTTCTTAAAATATTCTTTTAAGGAATTTAAAGAAGGCTTTTTCTTAATTTTTTCTTTTAAGGGGTAAGGGGTCCAATATAGGTTTTTTAGACTTGACGGAAAGTGAAGCCGGTTTTTACAGAAATTTCGAAGTAGGATAAATTAATATAAGTTCGGAGGGAGCGAATAGAAACCCGGTTATCCCTCGTTAATTAGGCGTTTCTCTTCTTGGGGGTAGAAGGAGGTTCCAATTCTATTATTATTGTGGTTTCTATTATTATAAAGAAAGAAGGGAATGAAGGATGTAGTTGCTCATACTTAAAGCCGGCTACTAGAAGTCCTTTATTTTAATAAGGAAGTTAGTTTCAGTCGCTCAGCCACCTCCAATAGCCTATACGTCTCTTCGGACCCACAGGGCCAAATGGTTATAACATCCGGCCCACCACCCTCACCTACCTACCAATCCGGACATTATACTATTTGGCCCTGTGGGTCCAAAACGATGTAGTTATACTCCGGTTTGAGCCTAATATAAACAAAATAGTTTATTGTATACAAACCTCTAAATTTCCCCAAATTTCCCTAAATATTATAGTCCTAAAATGAATAATACGTATGCTAAATTATACCTAGCACTAATACACTTATTAATACTATTTTCTCCTACCCTTCCTAATTTTAATAATATATTTACATTTTATTAATTATATTTAATAGCCCAACTAATATTTACTCTTTTGTTTCCTCTACTTTCATCCCAATTACAAAATTCCTATTATCCGGAGGAATTATATAATAAATTATTTAATAAAGCTCCTTCTTAATATTTATTAGAATTCTTTAATTAACCTACGGATAAAATCTATTCTAGAAATATATTTATTATAAATATATCTATAGTAAATATTAATATTAATATAGAAATTAAAGATATTTAATATTTATTTAATAGTATTTATTAATATATTAAGGTTAATTATCGGACGAATCTATTATATTACTTTATTTATTTATATACTTACCGGGGGATAAATACTTCCTAATAGTATAATAAATATTTAAAAACGTTTATTAGTATACTTCGATATTCTAAAGTATATAAAGTCTTTACGGATATTAGTATTTATATATATTTTAAAAAGGATAAGATTAAATATTAATTAGAAGGGGAGGAGACCTAACCTAAATTGGATAAATACCTAATCTAACCCCCAATTAAATATATACTTCAAATATATTTTAATAAAACCTTCCGTATAAAATTTAAATCTCTTTTAGGTAAATTAATATTCTATACCTTTCCTACTAATAAATTTATTAAAATTAGTAATATAGCCTACCCTACTACTATTAAAAATATATTTAATATTTCGTAGATCCATTCTCGCCTCCATTCTATCTATAATATTATATTTAAAATTATACTAAAATTAATAGAGTTACTTACTATATTATATATATAATAATATACCTATTAAAATTCGTACGAATCGAAGGACAACATTCGGAAAAAAAAGAGAAATCTATAATTATATAATTATAATAGCGTCTATTATTATAAATTTATATATACCTCAAAATAATATATTTATCCTAAAATTATTTAATATCTACTTTAAAAATAATTCTATACAATCGCGCATATATAATACTCTAATTCGGTTTAATATAATTTCTTTTTATAAAATTATTTTATAAATTATTAACTATTTTATTAATATTTCTATAGTATGTAATTCAATATCTAAATCCTATAGGGAAACTTTAAGAATCCCCCTATAGGATTTAAATATTTATATTTTTATTACTATTTTATATATTTATACAATTATAGGTAAATTCTAAACTAATTAATTATAACCCGAATATAGTTATTATTTATAATAATTTTAATTTTATTAATTATATATAAAGTTTTAGAATTAATTAGAAGGATATAATATAGAACTTTACTATTTATCTCCTTATTAGTAATCCTAATATTATATTAGTCTTATACACGCTAACTAGCTATACTAGTCTACCCAGGGGGGTATGCGGTGCTGCTTCGTTCGTAGTCTAAGGGAAAAACCGTATTGTTGAAATCCGGATAAAAACCCTCAGCTTCTCTATATCCAACCCTAACCCTAACCCGAACCCTTCGTCCCACCTCACCGTAGGGGGCCCGGGGAGCCTTAGTTACTTCTTTCGTCTCTTCTCTCAGTACATTATCTCTTTAGTCCCGGTGGACTTCGCGGCTTCTAATTAGTCGGTCCCTTAAAGCCCCACTTCCCTACCCAACGCTTCGGTAGCGTTTTTTCTTCATTCCGGAAGCGGGTATTCTTCTTTCATCCTATCTTCAGGGTAGGGGTAGGGAAGTGGGGTCTTTACTTTTCTTTTTAGTCGAAATCTTCGTCTTATTTTTTAGCCGGGATTTTTGGTGAGATGACGTTGATTGGTCCAATATCGTAGGACCAGACGGGTTCCATCCGAGCGGAACCGTAGCTCTGGAATGGATTTCGGAGGTAGGGTTCCAATTCCTAAACCCTATTGGCGGAACGGGGAGGCCAGCGCATCTTCGATTAGAATGAGATTTTTAACACGTGCCCAATCACGTACACCCAGGGTTTTGGACCAGGGTGGGCCCCCACATTTGATTTCGCTGTAAATACTCTTCTTCTTCTAAGAGCGCTTAGTGGAGCGACAGCGGGGAAGATCTTTCATCCGATCCGGCGGCGAAAAACCGGATGAAAAGGGGGGGGGAGCGGGATTCGAACCCACGACCTTTCGGATGAAACCGAAAGGGGGCCAAGCTCAGATCTTCCCAACTGAGCTATCCCCCCAATCCTAATATTAATAGACCGTTTAAACTATTTTAATAGCGCCCTTATATTAAATTCTAATTA